TGCCTGCCAGCCTGATCACCCCCTAACCACTCCCCTGCCCAGCCTGATCGACATCTAACTGATACCCTGCCAGCCCGATTGCCTCCAACTGCCTCCCCTGCCAGCCTGCTCACCACTAACTGTCCCTCCCCTGTACTGGTCGCCCACAAATGCCCTGCCCTGCTGGCCCGGTCCCCCCTAACTGCCCTCCCCTGCCAGCCTGGTTGCCCCCAACTGCCCTCTCCTGCAGGCCTGGTCAGCCCTAACTGCCCTCCCTGCAGGCCTGGTTGCCCCCAACTTCCCTCCCCTGCTGGCCTGATCGCCCACAACTGCCCTCCCCTGCAGGCCATCTTGTGTCCACATTGGGGTGGCCATCTTGTGTGTTGGGGTGATGGTCAATTTGCATATTACTCTTTTATTAGATAGGATACTATTCTTACAATAAAGTGAGCTACAAAAACGAATGTTATTAAGAACATCATAAGGAAGAGAAAATGCATTTACAGCAACTAATGAAAAAATCTGCACATAGTGGATCCACACATTCAAACCCATGTTGTTCAAAGGTCAACAGTGATTTGATGGGTGCATGTAAACTACATTTGTAACCTCCTATTAATCTATAGTTATTTTATGATTAAATTGTTTTTAAAAATGATATTAGGCTGCCTTCACAATACTAAGTATTTCCGAAATATTGTTTGGCCAAGTTGTCTCCTTGAGAATGTCTGCCCCTGCCCAGGTTTGGCTTCAGGTGTGTACAAAGTTTGCATGTGTCTTGATAGAAATGATCTTCCCAGTTCTTGCTTTCCCCCCAGGAAATAACATCTTGATTGTGGCCCATGCATCTTCCCTTGAAGCATGTACCTGCCAACTTCAGGGCCTGTCACCTCAGAACTCCAAGGACTTCGTACAAATGGTCCGAAAGGTAAGGTAATCCATGCTTGCGTTTCAGGGCCCTGTGGCCCCAGCGATTTTAGAACCATTCAGTGACTGCTGGCAGCTGAGTTTTCTGAGCTTGGAAGATGCATTTATTGACTCTCTCACCAAGATTACTGAGTGGTGGTAACCTGTGTAAGGTACTTTATTAGGTCTTGTGCGAGAGAAAAAGGACTGTTTGACCTAGTTCTAGTTTCTGAGCTAAAATTTAGGAAGTAGCTAAAAAATCGAAGCAAATTGTCTGGCTTCCCCTGGGGGACTGTGGGAGGGAGGAAGAACGGTGAGTGAGCCAACGCTCAGCGTCTGACAGCTCGGTGAGGAGGGGCCTGGCTGGCAGGCATGGGAAGCAGTGATGGAAACTGCCAGGCTGAAGGGCAAACCCAAGAGAGGGCAGGGAGACAGAGCCCTCGAGGCTGGCTGACAACTCCTTTTCCTGCCATGAACCGCCCCCCCCCCCGACTTCCCTCCAGGACACTCAGATGTTCCCTCTCTGTGCCCCCGGAGAACCTGGTTCAAACTCCATTGCAATTCTTTTCCATGTTTTTAAAAGCTTATTTATGCTTCTGTCCTTCCCACTGCTCTGTAAGCGCTTGAGGGCAGAGATTTTTGTCTTGTTTATAATGCAGCTCTGGACACACACACAAATAAGCTTCTAAAAGCCATGAGTCCTGAAGTGAGGAAGGACCAGCTTCAACTCTGCATGTCGCAGATACACATGGAAATAAATAAATGAAGCTGGATGAAACAAACCAACAGCTTTTCAAAAATTGAATAATTTTTCCTATTGTCTGACTATAATTTGAGAAATGTTTATGCTTCGTTTTTAGCTTGACTTGCAATTATGAAATTAGGAATTGCCTGGCCTGTATGGCTCAGTGGTTGAGCATCATCCCGTGCACCAAGAGGTCACCAGTTTGATTCTGGATCCGGGCACTTGCCTGGGTTGCGGGCTTGATCCCCATTGGGGCGTGCAGGAGGCAGCCGATAGATGTTTCTCTCACATTGATGTTCCTATCTCTCTCTCCCTTCTTATCTCTCTAAAAATCCATAAAAACATATTTTTTAAGAAATTAGGAATTAACTCCCAGCACCTCAGCTTCATGTACTGTCCTCATTCCTGCCACACTACAGAGCAGCCAGCTGTGGACAGTTAACTGCACTGAAGAGCTCACATATAATGAATCCTTCTGCTGAGTCCTTTTGCAGTGTAACTGCTCTGACCTCGAATCTAGCAGCTTTTTCCATTTCATTTTCTTTATGGGTTTTGGGGATGCTTGTCTACAAAGCCCCGATTAATTCCTATGAATACTTATTTTCAAGGGCCACCTGAAGATCTCTGTTTAGGTAAAACTTGCAGCATTAAATCTGTTTCCTGTTCTTTACTACTCTTACTTCAGATTCCGTACTTGGGGTTTTGCTCCTGTGAAGAACTGGGAGAAACTGGAATCTGGCAGCTGAGGGACCCACCCATCCTTCCTCTCACCCATGGACCCACTGGGGGCTTCAACTGGAGAGAGACGTTGCTACAAGACTGAGCCACACCCCGAGGAGGGAAACAGGCTTTGGGAAGCCTGGGGGAGACGTGTCTTTTTGTGTGTTTAGTAACAACGAAGAAGTCTGCACCACGCTGTATGTGACAGCGCAGAATAACTTAGCCTACTCCCTTTCATGCTTTAAAATGCTCGTGATGGAAACTGTGTGCATAAGTCTGCACCACGCTATACGTGACAGCGCAGAATAACAGCCTACTCCCTTTCATGCTTTAAAATGCTCGTGATGGAAACTGTGTGCATAAGAAAAAAACTGGATTCAGAGATAAAGCTCATTCTCTGTGGACTCTTTTCTGGCTCCTGGAGGGAGGAGCCAGCCCATGGAGGGGTGCCGGACCCTGAGGCTCCCGGAGGGAGGAGCCAGCCCATGGAGGGGTGCCGGACCCCGAGGCTCCTGGAGGGAGGAGCCAGCCCATGCTGGGGTGCCGGAGAAGGAGCAGGTGCGGCATCCAGCTGGGGGGACCGGAGCTGCCTGTGAGGTGGTGGGCTGCCCTTTCTAACTCCATGTCCCAGTGAGGCAAAGCCACGCTGAAGGGTTCTTCTCAGGTTATCAGGAAACGTGCCTGTAGAGAGCTGTTCTGAGGTTACACTTCGACTACTGCCGTGGAGACGACCACAAGGGCGTCCGGCTCCGACGCTGCCCAGAGGGTGGCAGGGACCCGGCTCAAGCGTCCCGAGCCCCTGGCCGCGCTCTGGGCAGAGCCATGCTCTGTGAAAGGGCAGACGAAGCACTTTTGCTCTCTGAAGCACTTGTGGATACTCAGGAGGAAATAAGTGTGTGAAGTAGTCAATTGTAGGAACAAAGAACTGAAAACCACGAAGTGGCTGCATGATCCGTGTTGCCACCGAAGGAGCCCAGCACTTCTGAACTGCCGTGCTGCTCGTCCGTGGCCCTCGAGTCCGGACTCTGGTAACCAGTTAAGGAAGCTGACGTTCTGAAAGGATGTGCGTTACATACAGTATTTGAATGAGCAAAAAGCCCGTTCTTGTGCAATATGGACATCTGCAACCGTGCCGGGGGGCAGGGTGTCGTCCACTCACATGCAGTGCACGTCAGTCATGCCAGGCCAGCCACAGGGGCACCAGCTACACCAGGGATGTGCAAACCAAGTCAGGGAACTAAATTAAGTGGTGACAATTACGATCGCACTGCTACTTGAGCTGTCATTTTTGTTTGCTTTTCTAGGATAATTTTAAATATGTAGACAGAGCTACTTAGAGGCAGCTGGGAGAACCACACCCTGTGGCTTCCCTTCAGACCTGCTTCCCGGATTTAGAGGGAGTTCATTAAAAAAAAAGAAAAAAAAAGAAAGACAATCAAGCCAAAACATCAGTTATCAGCGTCTGTTTAGTTGTGTGGCCAGCTGAGGGCCGCGGGCGGCGGACGGTGGCCAGGTGCGGTGCAGCTCACTGTGTGAGGATGTGCGCCACGCAAAGGGAACATCAGTGCAAATCAAGTCAATAGATACTGTAGCATCGAAGAAGCTTCGAAACCCACGTGCATGAAGCCTGGTGTGTAAAACAGGTCCATGGGCCTGTTTGACACGGGGATTTGATGATCCTTGAAACAAAGAGGGAATGTGTGCCGATCAGCTGGAGGGTTAGAGAGGGGTTTTAAAGTCACTTAAAGAAATGTGTCGTGAATTTTACATTTTAAGAAGCAAATCTTGATTTCTAGCATTATGCAAACAGCTTCTGAGTGTGGAAGTAACTCTATGCTGACACCATTGGTTAATATGAATGTTTTAATCTTCAAATGGTGACATACTCATTAAAGGGCTGTTTTTTATCCTTACTATAGGATAGCTGCCATTCATTCTTCTTTTTTTAAAATATGCTTTTATTGATTTTAGAGAGAGAAAGGGAGAGAGAGAGAAACATCAATGAGAGAGAAACATCAACATTGAACGGCTGCCCCCAGCATGCCCTCTACTGGGGATGGAGCCCATGGCCCGGGCATGTGCCCTACCAGGAACCGAAGGGAACTGCTGGCTTCTAGGTGCCAGGGTCAACACTCAGCCATGGAGCCACACTGGCGGCCAGTCATTCTTCCATCCATAAGGGCATGAGCCACTGCTCAGGCAGACTCAGTGTGTATTAGCTCTGCACATGCCCATGGCCTTCAGTGCCCAGGAGAATGCCTGGTCCCTCCCGTGCGGCCCCTTGGCAGCAGCGTGTTCTGGGCTGTGTCTGTACTTACACAGAACAAGTTCCTCATGGGCTCTCCTCTGCTCCCCCTGGTGGTCTGAGTCCCAGGACGGACTGCAATCCATTGCCTTTGGTCCAGTGTGCACAGAGCCTGAGGCTGTTGTCTGCACGAGCAAAAGGAGGCAGAGACTGAAGTCATTTTCTGAATAATTCAGGTGGGAAACCTGAGTAAACAAAGAGTTCATTCCTCGGCTTTAATTATCCAGACTATTTTTCAAAATGGCCTGAAAATCTGAATTCACATTAAATTCTTTTTCGCATTTATTTAAACAACCAAACTTAACCTCCAAATGAGAAATTCTTTGGAAATCATGTTGAATGTATGTGTAACAAAAGAAACATGATTTCATATTCATCCCAAAATTCTGGGTTAATATTACAACCTGAAGTGCAGGCTGGTTATTTTTTATCTCAGCCTGATGCTCCGTAAGAACAAATGTTGATTGAGGGTTGGGGGTGGAGAGAAGAAAGGAAGGGAGAGGAAGTGCCGATCAGAACCAAACGGCTCCTTGCAGAAGGAATTGTCTCTTTTAATGTAGAAAGTACCTGAGACAGCCTGAGGTGACATTAACGGGAGGGTTTCAGCGAGGCGTGAGAGTCTGCAGCATTTTGCTCTAGTGCACGCGTCCCCTCCAACACCCCAGTATCACGCATGCATGGCTCTTGGTTTCCCTGACTTACAGCCACATCTCTCCTGGGGGCAGGAGTGACGGCCCGTTTTCATGCAGAAGCTGAGTCTCCTCTCCAGCTGGTCGGTAGCCAGGGCCTTCGGCTTCACCCCAGCTCACAGGCCGGAGACAGTGTTTCCATTACATTTGGACTCACAGAATTGGAATGGCTGATTAAATGGCCATCTGGTGGCTGAAAGAGGGCAGTATTTTTCACCCTGTAGTGAAGGGCTTCCAGCAGTTTCTACTTTTTATTTGAATTATACTTTAACCAAAGAATTATTTTAAAATAACCTTATATTTGAAAGATGATTTTGCAAAAAATAAATAAAAATAATATTTTCTAGAGTGATGTCAGTTTGATAAATCACTGTTGCTAATTTTCTTGCATTGTAGGCTGATGTGGTATTTGGAATGCATCCTGATTGTCCTCCAGTTGTGTTTGGCATTACCATCATGGGTCTTCCTACTAGTGCATTTGTATTAAACAAAGCCTCTTCTTTCACTCGCCTAGTGTCCTTGTCTCTGAGGAGGCGTCCAGTGTAGTGAAAAGGGAGGCATTCCGTGTAGCCTGGGCACCGCCACCCAGCGTTCAGTCGGAAGGCATTACCGATTGATTGCTCCTCTGAATTTACTCTGATGTGTGTGCGAGCATGCAGACGAGCCGCCTTTGATTCTCACAGGCTCTGTCACAGCTGCACTGTTCCACGAAGTGCTCAGATGGTGAGGGACAGAGCTGTTCGCTTTTAAATTGTAGTCCTGCCCCTGTGAGAACCCAGGGCACGAGCTGCCCGGCCAGGAGGAACCAGACTGGCCTAGGAAGCTGGGGAAGGAGCAAGTTAGCATCTATTTAGGTTAATGTTCACTTTACAAAGGTGAAGGGGGTGTTTCCTTAGGTGATGGAAGATGCTCTTCATCTTTAAAGACGGGATTAAAATGAGATTTGCTTTTCTTTAATACTTCAATACATTGAATTTTCCTAGGAAAGTGACTAGCTATTATGAAAAATCACGGGAAGGAAAAAATTGCCTCTATAATATACGTAGAAGAAATAACTTGATTTTTAAGTACATGTAATATTACTCTCAGTGTATGTAGGTTTAAAATTGATGAGCAGTCAAACTTAATATACAATTAGTTCTTATAAATGTGTGACATGGTGCCACGTACCTGCCAGCACTCCTGGAAAAATGAAATGTTGCAGCTGTTTATTTTTAGGCGCTGTGCAGGATCCCTGGGGAAACGTGTGCTGGCTCTCTCTCTGATTGCCACTCGAGGTGAGAACAGCCGTGTTCTCATTTTGGTGATGCCCAGACCTGCCTCAGCCTCTGCTTTCAGAGGTATATTGGTTTCTTCCTCGCTGAGGGCTGTGCTATGCTGACCAGGTGTGTTCACTGGAGGAAGGAGGTCTCTGTGAGAAAGAAACTACCCCTCCCCGCATCACCAAGTTCCTGTGAATGCCTGTGGCACCTGCGTGCTCCTGCCTGGGCTCTGCACGCAGCTCCGGCCACTCCGGCCCGTGGGCCTCTCCATCGCGTGGTCCGTAGCCGCTTGCATAAAGGAAGCTGTCCTCGGTCGACCCAGAGCAGCCTCATTCAATGCTGAGTGGTCTGCGCTCCGTCGTGTGTTCTGCTGTTACTGTGGTCACTGTTGTTCTGTAAATGTCCATGGAGAGTGTGAGGGCCCAGGGCCACCGGCTGCTGATGGAGACGGAGGGTGCTGAGCAGCACAGGGCCCGGTCAGGCGTCCCGGTGAGTCATCAGGCTGAGGAGATGGAAACCATCCCCGGGTGGAAGGCCAGCACCAAAACGCTTCCTGCCCACGTGGGAGCGTCTGGCCTCACCGCGGCCCAGCCTGGAGGTGCCTCAGGAACCGTCCACAGAGTAGAATGTGGGTCAGAGAGAAAGGAAATGAGCCCCAGCAGGCTCCACGCTGCTCCGAGCCACAGACCCGTGTTCCACACTCACTGACTCTTATTGCTGATGTTGTTACAATTGTTCCATTACTAGTTGTTGTTGTTCATCTTTACATAGACCCCGTTTTTAAAGTCATGATATGTTAAGCATAGATTTTAAATAAACCATGTAGGAAAATGTATGCCCAGGAAATGATGCCAATTTTCATTGACACAAGCAGATCCTACTCTGGCAGGGTTAACGTCCTGAGGAGAGGTGGACAAAAGGGACCACATACCAAGCCTGATGCTCTCAGGGGAGGCCTGCATGGCCGCCTTACACACTCAGAGACCGGCAGTAACCACAAAGGATGGTCTGAAATTAAA